CCGACGAGAGCACTACACACTACCTCACTCAATGGCTGCTTGCCAACAACTGACACAATCAACAAGCGGGAAAAAATTCACGCATGCGCACGAAGGTTCAAGGTCGGCTCACGCAAGCGCGCTTGATTCAAATCCATCAGGTTATCGAAAAAAAAAATAAGATCAGATACTTTTCTCACAGGCCTCGTATATGTGTGTGTATACATGATCTTCTACCTGATTTAACTTTGTTATATCAATTTTATATAAATTACACAAAAATAATGTAACAGATTTGTATAAACTATAATATATCTACATATAAATACTCTGATTCCAACTATCCAGTTAAATATGCTGTTTTGGGTGTGCTGAGCAAAGTATAAACTATACATACATGTTTGTGTACATATGTGGTTTGGTTTAAATCCATCTTTAAGTATTTTTTAGCGCAATATTGTTTTGATTTAATATGACAAAAGCTTGTGAATAAAGTAGGAATTACTCATGTTTAAGAAAAATATGATTTCACATGAAAAGAGTAAAAAGCGACTTATTTGTGGGAAGTACTGAGATCTTCTTCTGACTGATAGTCTGGAGTTTGTTTTAATTCATCAATACCAACCTCTAATAATGTTTCTTCTCTGGACTTGAAAGCAGATATACAATCACAAAACACTCCTTAAAAACATGCTTATTTTTGTCAACATAACTTTAAATTTCTCTGCAAACTTCTACAGAGATCAAATACTTCAAGAATCTCTCTTTATATAACCATTTAATTATCAAAATATTTGTGAGTATACAAATCATCAATTCATTTGTTGTTTTAATAAGTCCAATGACAAACAGGAACTCTGAAAACAATTTTTGCTTTTGCATAACTGCTATCTTTGTCTGTAAATATTCTAAAACTTTTGAATATTAGCAAAAGAAAGAGAAAATTTAATAACTGTTTATATGAAAATGACTACACCTGTTGGTAAACCAAGAGTGAAATAGCGATTTGGTCCTGGTTTGAAATCATGGATCTTCTTACGGATGTACTTGGCATTCCAGATACTGACTTCATCTGAGTTGTCAAGGATTACTAACCTCATGTTCGTATGGTTTTACAATCCCTGCAATATATAATGAGGGAACTAATAACTGCAAATGCAATGTTTACTTATAAAAACTGGGGTTTCATTAGTGTAAATAAGTAAAAACAAAACATGCTTCATCCTAGAATTATCTAATTTTGCTACATAAAGGTGAAAGAAATCTAATGAATATTATTATGTTTAAAGGCTGCATGGAGGAGTCTAAAGGAATCCATAGATGTTTGTAATATTCTTTTGTAGTTTCTTTGATTAAATGATGTAAAGTAAAAGATCAAAATTATGCTTCTAAATTATTTCCATATAATTTTTGATTTAATTATGTTCATTCCTATACTTCTAAGGTGATGCAAGACTTTTGCCCATTGCTGTAGATATTAACAAAACATGACAACTAAATAAATTTTCAATATGTTGGAGGGGTTAAAAAAATATTAATGTTAAAGCAGTGCATTAAACACAGACTGAAAACATTTTATACTATGGGAATAGTTATAAGGACAAAGCCAAAAAATTAACTTTGAATTCTCTTAAGAACCTTATGAAATTACTAATTATCTCTCCTAAACGTAAGTTGTTTTAATGACAGTATTTCAAATAACAGGTAATTTAAAGTATTACTTTGTCAGTGGTATGAATTATTACTTTAAATATGTCACATCTACAGTGTATTAGCACTTAGCTTCGTCTGTTATAATACATAAAAGTAAATGGTTCAGGATACATGTCCAACAAGTTTTTCAAAAAACAAACAAACAGATTCACAAGATCAGTAATTAGGCAAGATCTTACTGTAAAACTCAAAACATATGACTGTTTTGTAGCACAACTAAGTACAATTTCATTATCTGTTTGTCATAAATCTGCACATACGCATGTTTGTAATAAAAAACTCATTATCTAAATTAGAAAATTTACAATTGTTTCAAACTGAAAATATTTCAAATCATCAACAGATTCAAAGGTTTGTTTTTAATGTAAATATTTATTGCATTAATTATTTCAATAACATGGCATGAAACTTGATTACTGGTATAAAGTGTAGAGGTTAAACTTGCATCATTGAAAATATTGGTTAGTTCGTCACAAACAGAACAATGTGATCAAATTGGTCAAATTGTTTGTGTAGCTTTAAAATTTAAACATTTCTGTAAATTTTTTATCACTGGTAGGTAGCCATTTCAATTTTGCACACTTGTTATTATCAGTTACTGCAGTTTCTTTTTTGTTGTAATAGTCTATTTTACAATTAATTCAGCTACTATTTTATCATTTTTGGTAATTAATGTCAAAATTATCTTAACCTACTGTCTTTCTTGCAGTAGTGTAATTTTGTAGAGAACACAAAAGAGACTCAGAAACTGGAGATTCAATTATTTCAAATTTACAAATACATATACTTCTGTCATAAATCTGACAATTAGTTGAGTGTTATGGAAATTTACAAATATATATACTTCTGTCACAAATCTGACAATTAGTTGAGTGTTATGGAAATTTACAAATATATATACTTCTGTCACAAAATCTGACAATTAGTTGAGTGTTACAGAAATTTACAAATATACATATATATACTTCTGTCATAAATCTGACAATTAGTTGAGTGTTACGGAAATTTACAAATATATATACTTCTGTCATAAATCTGACAATTGGTTGAGTGTTAGATAAATTTACAAATATATATACTTCTGTCATAAATCTGACAATTAGTTGAGTGTTACGGAAATTTACAAATATATATATATCTATCATAAATCTGACATTTAATTGAGTTACAGAAATTTACAAATATATATACTTCTGCCATAAATCTGGCAATTACTTGAGTTATGGAAATTTACAAATATATATATATATACTTCTATCATAAATCTGACAATTAGTTGAGTGTTAGATAAATTTACAAATACATATACTTCTGTCATAAATCTGACAATTAGTTGAGTGTTACGGAAATTTACAAATATATATACTTCTATCATAAATCTGACATTTAATTGAGTTACGGAAATTTACAAATATATATACTTCTGTCATAAATCTGGCAATTACTTGAGTTAAGGAAATTTACAAATATATATACTTCTGTCATAAATCTGACAATTAGTTGAGTGTTACGGAAATTTACAAATATATATACTTCTATCATAAATCTGACATTTAATTGAGTTATGGAAAATTACAAATATATATACTTCTGTCATAAATCTGACAATTAGTTGAGTGTTACAGAAATTTACAAATATATATACTTCTATCATAAATCTGACAATTAGTTGAGTGTTACAGAAATTTACAAATACATATACTTCTGTCATAAATCTGACAATTAGTTGAGTGTTATGGAAATTTACAAATATATATATATATATATATACACTTCTGTCATAAATCTGACAACTGGTTGAGTGTTAGATAAATTTACAAATATATATATATATATATATACTTCTGTCACAAATCTGACAATTAGTTGAGTGTTACATAAATTTACAAATACATATATATATACTTCTGTCACAAATCTGACAATTAGTTGAGTGTTATGGAAATTTACAAATATATATACTTCTATCATAAAACTGACAATTAGTTGAGTGTTATGGAAATTTACAAATATATATACTTCTGTCATAAATCTGACAATTAGTTGAGTGTTATGGAAATTTACAAATACATATACTTCTATCATAAAACTGACAATTAGTTGAGTGTTATGGAAATTTACAAATATATATACTTCTATCATAAATCTGACAATTAGTTGAGTGTTATGGAAATTTACAAATACATATACTTCTGTCATAAATCTGACAATTAATTGTGTGTTATGTAAATTTTTAAACAGTTTGGAGGAATGACATATTTAGCCTTTAGCTACATGTGTACTATAGAGCTCTTAATAACTGATGCACTGACAAGATTGCAAACTACATCATGTTCGTGTTTTGTAAAGGTCTCAGTAACAGTGTTAGCCATTATCTGAGAAACACTGTTAACCATTAACTGAGAGACACTTTTAGCCATTATCTGAGAGACACATTTAGCCATTATTTGAGAGACACTATTAGCCATTATCTGAGACACACTATTAGCAATTATCTGAGACACACTATTAGCAATTATTTGAGACACACTGTTAGTCATTATCTGAGAGACTGTGACAATGTTGTTATTTTGTATATCTCAATTATTAATCTAAATATTCATAAAAGTTGTTATATGAAAAAAACACTCATTAGGGAAACAAGCAATGAAACAAGTTCTTTTTGTTTTTTAACCATTGCTCTTTAGGATTCATTTACCATAAAATGTTCAGAGTGATTGCAATAGTGGACAGTCAAAGGTTGCTAAATAAATTTATTTATATTTTAATAATTTTATGAAAAAATACCCCCCCCCAAAAAAAACCACTTACACAGATCTGTTTGAATGCTAAGCTTTTAAAGAATGAAAATCATGCTATACTAGTACATTTCATAATTATTTCTCTAATATTGTAACTTCATACTTGTATTAAAAATACAATAAATTCACTTTTAAATGCCAAAAATAAAAATAAGTACAAAATATAAAAAAATTACCTTATCAACCAAATTTAGTTATTTATCAATAGAATTTAATGATTTACATATTTTATGATCTACACATATTCTTTTGAATAAATATAAAACCAACACACTATTCATGTATAATTTAAAACATTTTAAATTCATTTATTAATGAAAATATCAATTACATTAGCACTTTACCTTTATAGAATTATACAAGTCAATGAAAAATTATATGTTGTTGGAAATATAATTCATTTGCAAAGTATTACATTTCACATCTAGAATACTACGCGCATATCTTTTATCAAAATCCACTCTTTCTTCTTTTTTTAATAGATACACATTTTATCAGTTTCTTAACAGGGGCAAAGGTTTACAAAATCCAAAGCCCTTAAGAAAAGGCAGGAAATTACAACACCTTATATCCTTAAGTATTATTTGTGTAATGATGTGTACATATGTATTTTGCATTTGAAAGCAGCTAAAAAAAAATGTTTGATTGTTAAACATTGTAATCTGATTGCTAACCAAGTATATGTAAAATACTAAAAAATTCTCCTATTTACCATTGCCACTGAATTTTATGTTTTGTAAGTAAAACTATTACAAATTGAAATGAATCTTGCTTAACTTTATACTCCAGAACGAACAACATGAGTAATATGGTTGGTTCTGGTAATGTTATGAGTGACTGTTTAAGTGGTATGATTTAGCATTGTGTTAGTGTTTGAGAAACATCTCCCAGGCTCTTTTTTAAGGTCAAGTACACTATAAATAATAGTGTAATAATAATAATTTTTAATACAACTTGTGAAGTTTTTACAACTGTGCCATAATGTAAAGTACAGTAAACACATTAACTGTATTCTTTGTAAAAAACCAAAATGTCAATCAACTTCAGGTTTGGTTTTTTTTAAGAGCAAATCTTGAAAAAATATTAACTTAAACTATAATGCATTTCACTGTAACCTACTTTTCAATATAATAAGATGTAACTTTTATAAACCAGGGTCAATCCATTACTATTATTATAGCCATTATTACAAACTAAGCTAGCATTACTTAGGTACTTATGGTAAGAATGTGATCTCGATCGTTATCAGCACAAGACCCCCCCCCCAGAACATTTTGCATCCTAACTGGAATTAATTAGTAAATTGTACAAATATTTGGCAGATTACTTGTAATTATAGTAAGTGCAAAGCATTACATTTGAGTTATCATAACTTCGATTACAAATTCTATACAGATGGGAAACTGCTCAATACTGTGACTGAAGATAAAGATCTTAGCATACAATAGGATGACAGGAAACTATTTAATGTTGGGAAAAGATGTTTTTATTATGAATCTGACACAAGCCCTTAGTGGTGAAAAGAGATGTTAATATTGTGAAAAATTATGTAAATTAGCTAGTCACATGAGATGTAAACTCATGGTCTAACCACTAAAAGAAAATGC